GGGGGGGGGGGGAATGGCTGCGCGGGTGCTCATGCGCGCGTGCGCCGACTCCCGCCACCACTGCTGCCAACCCCCGCCACCGCGCACGTGCAGCGACCGCCATTTTGTTTGTCAAAATGGCGGCGGCGGCTCATTTGCGCATGCGCAGGAATACTGCGCATGCGCAAATGAGTCGCAGCAGCCATTTTGGCAAACAAAATGGTGGCCCTGACATGTGCGGTGGCAGCGCGTGCGGCATTGGCGGAGTTGGCGGTGGTTGGCGGTGGTGGCAGCGGGGGTCGGTGGGGGCCGGTTGGGGGGATCGGCGGGCTGGGTGCGGCCTGCGGGCTGTAGGTTGCCGACCCCTGTACTATAGGGATAGGCAACTTCAGTTGGTGATTTGGGTTGCGGTGGTACATGTGCTCCTGTAAATCTATTATTGGGTTCCTCCTCTTGCCATTTCTGAACTCCCAAATCCACCACCATTCCAGAAAAAAAGTAACCCTTTCCATTTTGAAAAAAGTGCTTGGGGGAAGCTACAAGAGCTCATCCCTGGTTTGTTTCCACATAAAGCTACCTTCAACTAATATATTGTTGAGCAAAAATAAATAAATACTGTAAATGCCTTTTATTTGTTTGTTTTTCTAGTTAAATTCACATCTCATCTTTGCTCCAGTAAACTCAAGGTGGTGTAAATAGTTCTCTTCCTCCTCACTTATCATCTCAACAACTCTGCAAGGTAGGGTAGTCAGAGAAAGTGACTTGCCCAAGGTTACCCTGTGAGTTTGAAGGCCTGATAGGGGGCTTGAAAGCCAGAGCTCACACATCCCAGTCCAGCATTCTAATCAGTACAATACACTGGCTATAGTATGCTCACCAAGACACCTTCTCATTTTTACATTCTGCATTTATGAAAAAGTTGTGCATCTTTTCCACATTATGGAGCTGCAGGGGGAACTGTAGACATTCTGGGCCTCCCTGGGGCAAATTCTCCAGCTCTCTAATTGTGTTGAATCTAGCAAATGGATTTTTTTCCCCATACCACCAACTCAAAAATGAGTCAGATCCTCAAAGCCATGCAGCTGTTTTTAAGCGGTTCACCTTTTAAGAAGGTGAGCCTTTTACGAAAGGACTGGTGTTTCTTGCTATTAATCTTTCACTGCTGACGTACATGCCTTTATGACTACATTGGCTTGAGTACTCCACCTCAGGCACTGCCATTAAAGAAGGTTACTTAGTTGTGTGCCTTCAAGTTGTTTCCGAATTATGGCGACCCTAAGACAAACTTATCATAGGATTTTCTTGGCAAGAATTGTTCAGAGGAGGTTTGGCATTGCCTTCCCCTGAGGCTGAGAGCATGTTACTGGGCCAAGGTCACCCAATGGGTTTTGTGGCAGAGCTGGAAATTGAACCCCGGTCTCCAGAGTTATAGTCCAACCCTCAAACCATTGGGCCTCACTACAAACCAGAATTTGGGTTCACTCATTTGGGAGCAGTGAGATCTGCAGGAAACTACCATTTTATTTGTTTCCCAAATCTGGCTGCTGCCACACTGCAGAAATAAAGCAGTTAGACACCACTTTGGACGTTTTCACACTAGGGGTCTCAAAGCCGCCTGGAAGCAATCAAGAATCATTCCGGAATGGATCCTGTAGCTTCAGACTGGTGAAAGCAGCATCATTCCGGAATGGTTCTTGATTGCTTCTGGCCGCGGCAACTCAATTCCTTTTTGAAAAAGGAATTGCAAAGAACGGGGATGATGCAGGGATGGCACTGGATGGGGCGGGGTGGGGCGGGGCTTGCTGCGACGTAAGTGTGAACACTCGGAGAAAGGACCCGGAATGATGCAGGATTGCGCTGGGGATGGCACTGGATGGCGCGGGGCTTGTGCGACGTAAGTGTGAAAACTTTTGCAAAGGATCCGGACTGGGGCCGGAGTGAGGTAGGATTGCATCTGCCTTAAGCCCAGTGTGAAAACGTCCTTTAACTTTCATGGTTTAATGCTATGGAATCCAATGCTATGGGATTTGTAATTTGGCACCAGAGCAATCTGACAAGGAAGGAAAAATACCTCTCAAAAGTACAAATCCATAGCACTGTGCACATTAAATTGAGGCACATAGTGCACATTAAATTGAGGCACTGCCCTGGCTCAGTGCTAGGGAATCATGGGAATTGTATTTTTTTCTGAGACATTGAACCTTCTCTGTCGGAGAACTCTGGTGCCACAATAAATTACAGTTCCCATGATTCCCTAGCACTGAGCCAGGGCAGTGCCTCAATTTAATGTGCACTATTTCTGGCAGTCTGCAAAGGCCTTTAGTCTTCTCTGGTGCCACAACAAATATCAAATCCCAAAATTATATTGCACTGAGCCATGCCAGTTAAAGTGGTCTCAAACAGGAATATTTCTGCAGTGCAGATGCAGCCAAAGTACATTAATTCTGCAGTGCAGACACAGCCTTTTTGTGGAACCACACTGACTCTGTATGAACAAGACTGAGCTGCTCTGGAACTGATGCAGTTCTGTCTTGTTCACACGGGGTCAGTGAGGTAACACAAAAAACTGCGTCTACACTGCAGAATGAGTACCAAATTTTCTGTAAGGGTGGGGGAATCAGTGGTGTCACTAGAGGGGATGTGGTCTGCACCAGGTGACACCCCAGAAGGGGTGGTGGTGACAGCTGGTTCCCCTTGCATTCCTTCTCTGTCCCCACACTCACTCCCCCTGCACCATCCCTGTGTGCCATCTCCATGCACTTTGCCTCCCCCTTGCCATCCCATCCCATCCCTTGCCATCCCATCCCATCCCTTGCCATCCCTTGCCATCCCATCCCATCCCATCCCATCCCATCCCATCCCATCCCATCCCATCCCATCCCATCCCATCCCATCCTTTTCCTTTTCACGCATATTATACCAGTTGTGGGTTTAACATTTGTGGGTTTAACGTTTGCAGATTTATTTGCATGTTTGTTTGTGTCTGAAGGGCAACTAACTGTGCTTCCCACACACATGGCAGGAAAGGGCATGAACACTCCTCCTCCCCTTCCTCTGCCCTGGGCTTTTTCTTGGCATGGAGCAGCCTGTAGTGATGTTGCCACGCAGGGTGTCACCTGGTGCAGGGAACAGATGTTCCAGGTGGGACTTCTGAGGGTGGAGTCAAAAGGGTGCTGCCCACCTCCCTGCCATGTGCCAGTGTACTCGTGAGCACAATGGCATGAGGTGAGGGTGCTGGGCATGCTCCCTCCCTGCTGTGCACCATGTCAAGGCAACAGCACCAAGGTTGGGGGGCGCACGGCTACTTCGGCACCTTTGCATTGTTTTCCTCATGGTACTATTCTCATGAGGAGAATGAGGTGATGGCACTGAGTTAGAAGGGCCTACTGGGTGTCACCCCTCTTCTAGGAGGGGCCCTGGTGATGCAGTGGTTACATGCTGATACAACAGCTGCAATGTTGTGAGTTTGATCCCAGGGCTCCAAGGTTGACTCAGCCTTCCATCCTTTTGTAGGTCAGTAAAATGAATATCCAGCTTGTTGGGGGCAGTTGGCTTACACATTGTAAACTGCTTAGAGAGTGCTGAGTTCACTATTAAGCAGTACAGAAATGTAAATGCTATTGCTATTGCTATTCTAGGGTGTTACCTGGTGCACTCTGAACCCCCTGCACCCCCTAGGGATGCCACTGGCAGCCGGGAAAAGCACACGTGCTGATCTGGAAAGAGCGTGCTTGCTCCTTCTCCTTTGTCCTGGGCTTTTTCCTAGGATGAAGCAGCTGGGAAGGGTGCATGTGTGCTCCTTCTCCTCCTTCATCCTGGGCTTTTCCCTGGGGATGGGAAAGCCCAGGACAGAGCAGCTGGAAAGGGGGTGCATGCACTCCTTCTCCTCCCTTTCTTTGCTGCACTTGCCCAGCCACCACCTGGCAAACCTAGGCAGGCAGCTGGCTGAGTGAGCAAGTTGGTGGGGAAGGTAGGGGAGGCCTCTGCCCTCCCCCATGCATATTCATGTTTTTTTCCACTTTCAGGGGGGTCTTGCATCCCTTTGTTGTTGTTGTTAACTGCTCTCGAGTTGATTTTGACCCACAGCAACCAATCAACCTATGATGACCCTGTGGATGTGACATGTCCAAGATTCCCTTTCCTCCACTGCTCTGCTTAGTTCCTGCAAACTCATATATGTGACCTCCCTAATAGAGTCCATCCATCTAGCATTCAGCCTTCCTCTCTTTCTGCTTCCCTCCATATTTCCTAGCATTATTGTTTTTTTTCCAATGAGTCATGCTTTATCATGATGTGTTCAACACACAACAGCCTCAGTTTAGTCATCTTGGCTTCCAGGGAGATTTCCGGTGTGATCTGCTGTAGGACCCATTGTTTTGTCTTTTTGGCTGTCCATGGGATCCTCAGCACTCTTCTCCAGCACCACATTTCAAATGAATTGAATTTCTTCCTATCTTCTCTCTTAACTATCCAGCTCTCACATCCATACATGCTAATATGGAGAACAATAGCTTGTATGATTCTGACTTTTGTGCTCAGTTATATATCTTTGCATTTTAGGATCTTTTCTAGTTCTTTCATAGCTACCTTCCCCATTCTTAATCTTCTTCTGATTTCCTGACATCAGTGCCTGTTTCTATCAATATTTGATCCCAGAGATGAGAATTCTGTTACTATTTCTATTTCTACATTGTCTAGTTCAAATTTGTGTAGGTTCTCCGTGGTCATTATTTTTGTTTTCTTTATGCTCAACGGTAAGCCTGCCTTTGCACTTCCTTGATCTTAGTGGTAGAATTCAGAGATATAGCTGTGTTAGGCTGTAAAACCAATATAATATAGAGAGATCTTGTAGCACCTTTGAGACTAACTGAAAAAAGATGTTGGCAGCATGAGCTTTCCTAGACTTCAATCTACTTCCATGCTTTTTAGTCATGCTCAGAATGGAGGATACTTTGGAACTGCACCAAAGGAAGTAGACTGAACTTTAGCTCATGCTGCGAACTTCTTTTTTACAGTTAGTCTCAAAGCTGCTATGAAATCTCTCTTTATACTAATTCTACAGACCAACATGGCTATATCGTTGAACAAATTACGAAGTAAGTCTGAATGAAAACTGAGGCATTTCTAAGGGCCTCGGCAGACGGCTTAATTGAGCCGTCTCTGAGGCCAGGAAGAGGAGGGGCCACCGCACGTGCGGCGGCCCTTCCTCTTCCTGAGGTCGCCCTGAACGCTTCCGGGCCACCGGACGTCCGGCGCGTTCAGGGCGACCTCCTCCCGCAGCGTCCGGACGCGCTGCGGGGGATAAGTCAGAGAAAGGGCGCCCGCCGCTTTTAGGGCGCCCTTTCTCTGACTTATGAAAGGAGTGCCTTTTTGGCGCTCCTTTCAGGGTCGCTCTAGGAGCGCCGCGGTGGGGCTGCCATAGCCCCGCGGCGCTCCGGACCAGGGCGTCCCAAACGCCCTGGTCTGCAGAGGGGGTAAGTAAACATGCCTAGGAAGACTGCCCTACATATTGATCTGCCTTAGTAATTGTTCCAGCTCTGTGAGGTTTTCAGCTAGTATTATGGTGTCATCTGCATATCTTAAGATTCTTGATATTCCTTCCTCCTATTTCCACTCCTCCTCCTTCTGTGGCCAGGCCTGCCTTTCTTACAATATGTTCTGCATATAAGTTGAATAGGCATGATGATAAGATGCAGCCTTGTCTTACCCCTTTGCCAATTGGGAACCATTCTGTTTCTCCGTGTTCTGTTCTGACAGTAGCCTCTTGTCCTAAGTACAGATTCCTCATTAGGGCTATCAGATGTGTTGGCATTCCCATGACTTTAAGGGCATTCCATAACCTTTCGTGATCTATGTAGTCAAAGACTTTGCTGTAGTTTATACAGCACATGTGTATTTTCTTTTGGAAATCCCTGGTGTGCTCCCTTAGCCATCATATGCTTGCAGTGTGGTCCCTAGTGCCTCTTCCTTTCCTGAACCCTGCTTGAACCTCTGGATTTTTTCTCTTCATGTATTGTTGGAGTCTATTTTGGAGAATTTTGCTTGCATGGGAGATTAGTGTTATGGTCCTATAGTTGCTGCAGTCTCTTGTATCTCTTTGTGGATGGGGATGTATATTGACCGCTTCCAATCTGCTAGCCATTGTTTTGTTTTCCACATCTGTTGATATATGTTGGTTAACAATAGAGTTGACTCTGGCAATGTGAATTGCAGCAGTTCACTTGGAATATCATTTATTCCTGGTGATTTGTTTTTCACCATTTCTCTTATTGCAGATTCCACCTCGCTTTTTAGAATTTGGGGTTGATCTTCATATGGCTCTTCATTCCATGTATCATTCATATTGTCATCTCTTTTGTATAACTCTCCTGTGTATTGCATCCAACATCTTTTTATTCCTTCCTGGTCTTGAATTATGTTATTTTTATTGTCATAGAGCATCCTGGTCCTTGGTTTGAATTTT